AAGTATAGTCTGTCGTTGTTGATAACAATGTTCAACATATGTCAACTAGTCGAGTGTGTTACTCATGTTACTCAAATATTCTACATCTTCACAGATTTTTTTTTCTCCTCATTCTGAGGGTTGCTAAAATTTCCCACTGTGACTGTATATTTATCTCTTCGTCCAGTTTGCCAATTTTTGCTTTATATATTTAGAAGCAATGTTATTAGTGCATACAAATTAGGGGTTAATGTATTTTCCTGAGGTTTGCCCCTTTTATAATAAGGAAATATTTGTCTTAATCTCAAGTATAGTCATGTGCCGAATAATGACATTTGGGTCAATGACGGACCTCATATATGATGGTGGTCCCAGATAAGTGCCATATAGCCTAGGTGTGTAGCAGGCTATAACATCTGGGCTTGTGTAAGTACACTCTGTGATGTTCGCGCAATGACGAAATCACCTAATGATGCATTTCTCAGAACGTATCCCCATTCTTAAGTGATGCATAACTAATTCTTCTTGTCTTGTAGTCTACTTTGTCTGATATTGGTATATTACATCAATGTTACATCTTTTTCTATACTTTTTCTTTCAACCTTTTAATATCATTATATTTACAGTGTGCTACTGTAAACAGTATATTGCTGTTGTAGTTTTTAAAATTCAATTTGATAGGTTTTGTTCTTTTTATAGAAATGCCTTGTCTCTTTACTTTTTTTTATTGTGATAAAAAAATGTGATGTTAAATTTACCATCTTAATTATTTTTAAATGCATAGTTCAGTAGTGTTAGGTATATTCACATTGTTGTACAACAGATCTCTAGAACATTTTTATCTTGCAGCCTTGAAACTCTATACCCACTAACCACTAATTGCCTCTTTACATTAATGTAATCACTCTTACATTTGGCTTCAAATTTGTCATTTTGCTATTTGTTTTCTACTTGTTTCACATTTTCCCGTTTTCCTCTCATTTCTTTAGTGCTGTTGTACTAAATAGGGTTTTTTACTATCTTTCCCCCTTTAGCTTGTTAGTTATGAATTCTTTAAAAAAATTCTTTTAGTAGTTCCAATAGAGGTTACAATATATAATTAAAATCTCATGTAAATTGATATTTCAACCACTTCCCTGACAATCTAGGAACCTTCGAACAATTTCTCTCTACATAGTCACTTCTTCAATTTGTAACCATTGAAATGCATTTTAATTACACATGGATTTTAAGCTACATAAGATATTATGATTGTTGTATACACTGAATATTGATTTATTTTCACCCACGTATTTATGCTCTCCAATGTTCTTTCCTTCCTGCATGTCTTTGTTTCCATTGGTAATAATTCTTCTCTGCCCTTACTATTTCTTTTAGTGTGGGTCTTCTGGTGACAAATACTTCCAGTTTGTTTTTCTGGAAATGTCTTTATTTTGCCTTCATTTTTTCATGTTTTCACTCAGTATAGAATTCTTGATCGGCAATTATTTTATATCAGCACTTTGAAGATATAATTCCATTGTTTTCTGATTTGCATCACTTAAATGAGGTCAGCGCTCAGTTTTATTGTAGTTCCTTTGACAGTAATATGTATTTTTGTCTCTGACTGATTTAAATTGTTTTCTCTCTGTCATTTTTATCAGTTTGACTGTCATGTGCCTAGAGGGGTTTTCCTTGCGTTTGTCCTGATTTGGGTTCATAGTTTATCTTGAATGTTAGAGTAATATCTTTCATTAATCTTGAAACATGATTGGCCACTGCCTTTTCAAATATTGCTTCAACCCCATTCTCTCTCCTCTCCTAGGGAGCCCCTATTACACATATGTTAGACCTTTTCTCCATGTCCCCTGTATCTCATGCTCATGTCTATATTTTTCATCCCTTTTTCCCTCCATGCTTCCGTATGGATATTTTCTTTTCTTCTGACATTTTTTCCGATTCACTAATCTTTTCCTCAGTGTGTCTAATCTGTTGTAAAACACATTTTTGAGTTTTTAGAATTCAGTTGTTAAATTTACAGTTTTGAAATTTCATTTGAATAATTTCATTTATAGATTCTAATTCTCTACCGTAATTTTCTAACTAATTAGTTTTATTTCCTCTGGAGAGTTTTTCCTCTGGAGTTTCCAGTCATTTGGTCATATTTCCTTTATGCTTGGTAGTTTTTATTGATTGCTGAATATCGTATATGAAAAGAGCAGAGATGATGAAGCTATGTGTGATGAAAACATTTTGCTCTAGACAGGATTTATTGTTGCGCCTCAAAGACAGAAGAATGTCAGATAAACTTAACCTATTCTGTGTTTGAGCTGATTCAAATCAGGATTTCAGTCTTCATGAAGACTAATCTGTTTTTGCTTCACCCATCTCCTGTGGTAGGGGTTGGCAAAGTTTTTCTGCATAGGGTCAGAAAGTAAATATTTTAGGTTTTGCAGGCCTACAGTCTCTGTTCCAACTACTCAGTCTTGTCATTGTAGCCCAAAAGCATCCATAAACAATATGTAAATTAATGGGTGTGGCTGTGTTCCAATAAAACTTTAATTATAAAAACAGGCAGTGGGCCAGATTTGCCCTGCAGACCATAGTTTTCTGACCTCCCTCCCAGGATGTAGCTCTCCAGAGGTCTCATCTCAAAACCTGTGTTATTTAATGACGACTCCTTCTCTGTGGAGAGCCCTAAAGTCCCATTTTTGTCTTCCTACCCCTGTGAAACTACCTTTAGACCTGCTAACCTTCTCAGATGTTAGCCACAACCTAAGAATGAACAAATACCTTGAGGGCAAGAGCAACATCAAATGTCAGGTTCACCTCTATGAAACTTTCTTTTGCTCCAGGATCTTAGCTTCTAAGATAGTCCCCTGGATAACTCTTTGATGCCTTCAAACATTTTTTTTTTGCATTTTTTTCTAGCTTTTCTCCTTATTCTTGGGACAAGTAGTCTATCAGATCCAGAAACATATGAGGATCGTTTTTGAAATTCAGATTCAGTGTTACCTCAACAAAGAGTGGGAAAATCATCTTTATATTTTGGATTTTGCATCAGAAATTGTCAGACCACAGGGTATACTCAGAAACCAGTTGGGCACCCGCAACTTTTAAACGATAATTTGTCTTGAATCTCTCCAAGTCTCTACCTGCTGACTGCTCCTTCCTTAGTCCTCATCTCAAACAGCCTTCTAATCCTCCTGATACGCCTTTCCTAATTCATTCTCTACGTGGCAGCCAGAGTGATTCTTATGAAACATAAGTTTGAGAATGTTACCTCTCCCTGCTTCAGACTCTTCAATGACTCCCCATTTCCCTTAGAATATAAAAGATACACTATAAGATAGCTTGTAAGACCCTTCATGACCTGCCCCTGTCTTTTTCTCTAACCTAATTTTTCCACATTCTTTCCCCTAAAACCATACTATTTAGTTCTAATTAGTTGCTTTTCAACTTTTGAACTGGCCAGAGCTTTTCTCCCTCAGTGCCTTTGCACACAACCTACCTGGGGCGTGATCTCCTTATCTTGCCTTTGCTTTAAGTCCATCATCATTGTTCAAGTCTCAACTTAGGTTAGCTCTCTCTAGGAAACCTTTTCTGATTCCTAAATTCTAGCCTAGATTCAGAGTACTGTGTATGTCCCCAGTGATATTTCTTATACCCTCTGTACTGAAAATTTGTGTGGTTACTTATTTGTAGCCCCTAAAATATTATGAGCTTCAAGAGGCAAGGCTATCTCCATTCCATCTTGAATCATTAGCATTTAGCACAGTGTCTGGCCCATAATAGGTGCTCAATAGTTGTTTGCTGAAGGAATGAATGAATGAAATGCTATAAATATATTTGGCATTATTTACTTTTCATTATGATACTTACATTCATTGATTCTCAGTATAATCTTAGAAGCTGGGAAAGCAGTATTATTTCTGTTTTAAAAATGGGCAAATGGGAACAGAGAGGCCAGTTGACTTGTTTGGGTTTTTCAGGATGTTTAATGGTGAGTGTAGATCTAATCTCTAGGTTCTACAGGTCTCAGCATAGATGTCAAGATTGGATACCATAGTCTTCTCTCATGCACTATTTCCTTTCTCCTTTCACATCCTTGCTTCTTTCTTTGTTTTCCCTCCCCCATCACTATTATTAAGGCCACATTGAAAGCTAGAGAGATGGTGTCACTTTGATGAATCAATAGGTTTGGGGATTTTTGGAGAGTTTCATTATTCATCATTAAGCAAAGCTTCTCTTTCCCCCATGACTCCACCTAAGTCTTGGCTCAGGATGCAGGGGAAGGAGATGTGACAGGTGGTAACTCCTTCTTTTCAAGGTGAGATTGTGCATACAAATTCTAGGAGTACGTGAGAGGTTGGTCATTGATATTGGCAAATTCCTTTGTAATCGAAACCTGTGATTGAGACCCAGCTTGTGAAGCCTTATAATTAGATAATAGTAAATAACTTCAAAACTGTGTATGGTGTCTGGAAGATGGGGAATGGGTTCCAGGTTCACCACCTTGTCAGATTCCTTTGCTGCTGACAGTGGGATCATGCAATCATTAAATATTAAAAGGAGGAAGTTCATATGTGAAATCAGTAATATGATGAGTGGGAACAATCTTTTCTGTGGTCTGTTAAAGGGAGTATTAAAGGGAAATACTAACTAGCATTTACTATTTTTAAATAGTTTACCATTAGCTTCCATTCTGAAATCATTTAAAACCAACGTATGTCATTTTTGTGTGTTTGTGTGGGATGAGGGAAAGCTATACATTTTGTTTCTTTAGCCATAAACTCTGTGCCAAATGTGTCATAGTCAGTTAAGTTGTAGAGATTAATACCTGGAGAATAATGAGGCAGGGCAGACAGTGTCTGAAGCGTTTCTAAAAATTGCCTCTTGAATGCTACGTGGTGGAGGCCTTTAGTCCAGGCAAGAAACTGGAAGTGGAAGCCTAGATGGAGAGGCCAGAAAACACTGACTTCCCTCGCCCCTGTCCTGGCCTGGCTAGAAAGTTTAAGGCCATTTTTATTCATGCCTTTCAGGTAGCATCCTTTTCAAGTGGATGACCATGGAAACCGAGAAGATCTCGGAGAAGCAGGAGGAAATTCTTTCTATCCTGGAAGAAAAATTTCCTAGCTTGCCTCCAAGAGAGGACATCATCAACGTCCTGCAGGAGACCCAATTCAGTGCTCAGGGTGAGTGACTCTGTCCCCAGCTCTGCCACTGCCCCTGAGTAGGGCTGGTTTGTGGTGTGGAGTGTTGCCAGGCCCCAGAAGGTGACTTTGAGTGTGCCTTCACTCTCTTCCCTGTTGTTTGTGCTTGTGGAAGATTTTCAGGCACCTGGGAGCAGGCGGCCCGTACTGCAGCCTCTCCTCTGAGGCCTGTGTGTCTGGATGTGTGGTTAATACTCATGTCTAATGCGCACCCCAGATGCATCATTATATGAAACCCCTGTGCTGAGAGGGATTTATTTTGAGATTGTGGCAGGAGCAATGTCAAGCACAATGGGATTTCATAAATCAATTAATTTTAGAAAAAAGTAAGAGAGAAGACAACTAAGCAGACAAAATTGTTCTCTGAATCTAGGCTTTATCAGGACAGTGGATTTCCTGGATCAATTGTTTTATAATAATAATAAATAGCTATTATTCATTGAGTGCCTAATATATACAAGGCTCTCATGTATAATTTGCATGGATTATTTTACTGACTCCTCACGACAACCCTGAGAGTCAGGTGTTCTTATTACGCCCAATTTTCAGATGAGAACACTGAAGCACAGAAAGGCATCTTTGCTTTCCTGTCATCACACACACACAGCTGGCAAGTGCCCAGGACAGGATTTAAACCCAGACAATCTACCTTTAAGGTGCACAGCTTTCTCCCTTAGTTTGGAATCCCCCAGGGGCAGACCCTGAAGAAGCCATTGATGTGGGAGGTGATCCCAAGAAACACTGATGAAGGATGGAGTGCCTTATCCAGCTAGTTAGCTCTGTGGAAAGCCAGGCCTCCATTCCACTGGAGAACTCTGTGAAAGGGTGTAAAATTACACCTCAGTGTTACCCTACCCAAGGAATGCAGTGGTGTGTGGGAACTTGTTCATCTGAGCTCCAAGAGCTGATTGTTACATTTTCAGGAATTTTGTGATTTGGTTGATGTTGGATTGGCAGTTGACATCAGCCATGGTAGAAGTATTACACCACAGAAACTGTTGAACACTACAAATCAGGTTTTGTGGCTGGTTGTTAAACATGGACCAGCAAACCACTGGAATATTGAAGGCTACTCAGTCCCAGGGGCTGTTAATTCCTCCAAAGTGGGCTCTGGTGGCCAGAGAAAGCCCTGAGGAAAAGAGATGGAGATGCAGGTGTTTGAGTGTCGTGCTGGGGCACACTGCAGTGGTGACATCTGAGGAAATGTGTGTGTGGCACTGACACGCCTGCCACACCTTCTGTTACATGTACACGTGTGAGGATGTACGTGATGCGTGTATACCTACGTGATGGTATACATGTTGTCATTCATTTTCACAGCTAGGCCAAACTTTTAATGTCACAATATAGTCTATAAATCATTTTAAGCTGCAGTATGATAGATGGCGACCTTTCAATCTTCGAGTCAAACAAAATCTTTAGTATCTTTTTGTTTCCCCAGACTATTGTGATTAACAGTGTTCTAAATTGGAGGGCAAATAAATCTGGCGTCAACACACATCTGGGAAAGGGATTTGTGTTTATAAATAAAGCTTTGCTGGGCTTTATCATGGGTCTTCTGCCCAGGGGGTTTGTCCTAGTCAGATGTAATAACCTAGGGTGACAACTATTAGATTAAGCCAGACCCTTGCCTGTTTCCCAGTGATAGGTTTTCTTGAAGCACGTTGGGCAGCTGACTAAGACTATGCAGTTCTGGATAATTTCACCATTCTGGATTATTCCTCCCATCATTGAAAGAATTCAAAATCTCCTACTGCCAGAGACTATTACAAGGGTGACCAACTTATTTATGACAGTTTTATGGGTCACATTTATAAAGTGCATTTTGAATAAAATTATACTAGAAAACATGGGGCTCACCTAAATGCATCCTGAAAGCAAATTTTGGCCTTGTTTGGTGAATTTGGCTAGGTCGCATGGTTGTGCTAGTTTTTCTTCACTTTTCCCCCTCCTCTCATTCCTTTCTCTGCCCTTGTCTGCTCTGGGCCTCCGGAGGCTGCCCTCTGAGTATTTAATCTTCTAGGCTCCCTTGAAGATTACTGGCTTCTGCTTGTGTTTGATCACTGGGAAGAGTTAGCAGTATGTAAGGACATGGAGATTGAGGGGAGGAGAACAGAGAGGCCGTAGTATTTCTTCCCTGCTCCCTTCCAGCTTTGGCCCTAAGTCTCTGGCAGCCCCTCTTCGACAGTTCCACATTTCTATTTCCTTCCCTTGTCCCTTTGCTGGTTTCTGGATGCCTCACCACCTTTGATTCATTTTCTCAGACCCACCCAGAGCTCTGTAAATGTCCTGCCATTAAAAAACTTTCTTTTGCATCATGAGGGGTGAATTCTGTTTCCTGCTGGGATCCTAATTGATGCAGATATTGTCACTAATGTAATTTGTGCCTTAAAATGTGTGTGTTTGTTATGGATAAAAGCGATATTGGAGGGAAAAATATTGAAATTAACAGATGAATTCTTTAAATAATCCCTTGATATTACCAAAAAAAGTTCCCCCAAATATAACATTGCTTTTTTCCTCTCATCCGCAGGTTTAAGTATTGAACAGACAATGCTAAAGGATCTAAAGAAACTGTCAGATGGAGAAATCAAAGTGGCCATTAGTACCATGAACGTGACCCTCCAGGTAAGGATGAGAACTCTGTCAGCAATGATAGATTTTACACAGTTGCAGTCTGAGCAACTGGAATATAGCTCTCTCTACCACATACGTCAGTGTTAGTCTTTTGCTGTGAATGCTTCTTTGTGATATATTTGACTAGGAATGCAGGTTCTTATTTTGGGTGAAAACAGTATGCTAAGTCAATGAAAAATGCCAAACCTAAATTCCCAAGATGAGTGCTGTTTCATTCGTCTCAGTAAAACAAAATCTAAAATTCAAACACTCATGCGTGTGTGTGTGTATATGTATAGTCTGTTCGATGGCAATGATTATATATATGATTAGATTTGCTTCCTTTTTTTTGTGTACCACCCCTCATTGTCCACAGAACTTTTCTAAGAAAACAAGTTGTCGTTTGGCCCTTGTAAGCTATCTGGATGCAGGTCATTTTGGTAATCAATGGTGACAACTCAGTTATTAGTAAGATCCTCCCCCTAATCTGTTAAATGAAGAACTCAGAGTGAATGTTACTCTTGTCTTTGTGTGTTTCCTTAGTAAATTATCTTTTTTCTACTTCGGGGGTATTCAATGACTTGTATGTTAATCTTAATTAACCTAACTAATGGGAATTATATTTTACAGAAGCACATTTGTGCTGTACAGAAGTCTGGGTATTTCTTTACTGTTATATTGCCTTGATCGAGCCATCTGCCTTTAACTGAGGCACTGAGCTCTCAAGTCAAGTTTATGGAGATAAAAAATGCTGTATAGGAATCTGTCTTTTGGTTTTTAGAATTGTATGTTACTATTCTTTTTTTTTTTCTCATGATGATGGTGACTATATCAATGTGTATATTTCTAGGGAATAGCGGGCATGCAGAAGGGTGTCCACACCTCAGAAAACCCAATAGCAAACCGGGTGCTTTTTTCTGTGATTTCTTTGTAAAATTTATTCCCAGCGGATTGGCATCATAATTCAGTTCATAGATCCATATGAGTACCAGGAGGCAGACTGTTATCACTAAAGCTAATCACATTTGGTGGTTATATATTGCATCATAGCTCACAGGGCACGTTCTCATTGTGGGTAGAAACTCAGCAGTTTCTATAGACTTTCAAATTGATAAATGCTCCATAGAAGTAGATGTTGATGTGGCTCAGTAGAAGGAACACGTGCAATTTGGGATGTAGTAACTAGATAATCACCTTCAATTAGAAATCTGCTTTGCATCTAGAAATCCAAGGAGAACATGGATCCTGCAAGGGTCAGTAGCTCTGAGAATCATTTCTCCTACTTTCAGCCTTAGGGTTTTCTTTCTCTTTCCCCTCTCCGCTGTCTCCCCTCATTTAATGTCATCTTATTAGGATTTAAATGCCTTGTTTGGAATTCCTTTCTAAATTAACATAGAGCATCTTGTAATTGCTTAGGGAACTGTCTATAGTTAGCAAATTATTTTAAGGCTATTATTATTATAGATTTACCATAGCTTTAATGTACCTTCATTTATATTATAGGGGTATACAAATGGCTTTGTCAGATATGTTAAACTGTAAATATTTATCAAGCTAAATAAGTGATAAAAATGATCATCTTAATCTTGACAGTAATTTACACAGAGGTCCAGTAATTAATCAGGTGGCTGAGTACATCTCTAGAATTGCTGTATGATCTTCTGGGAGAAGCGAGGACATTTGTAATATAAAGAAGGGTACACAGATTAAACCAATCAGCCGAGTGAGAGCTTTTCATTGTACATAATGGGGGTATTAAAAATGACTAAGAAATAGAGAAGGAACTCAGTAACATTCCATATCTTCTTTGAAAGAGGAAGTGCACATTATTTATTCAGTCTGTCAATTGGAAACATCCCCAAGTTAAGGCAGAGTGTGGTTTTCTCCATAGATCATTCTGTGATACAGTGGTGTTTTCCCAATCCCTACTCGTATTTGCTTATATTTCAGTGTTTCTTTCTCATTCCATTCCATTAAAATAATGACGGAATCGCCACAATCTTATTTTGTGTTTCAGAACAGCTGTTTAATTGCCCTTTAAATCTAAATAGATTCTCAAAGAAATGTTCTTATTTCCTCTGACTTTCTAAATCTCACTTGTCCTCCAAAGCGTGGTCAAGATCTAGCTAATTCATGATGACTCGTATAAATTCTCCATTTTTTATAACCATCCTCTGAATGCTTGTGAAATTTAGTCTAAATGGACTTAGGACTTAAATACATACTGTATCTTCCATTTATTTTGAACTTATTTTGTCTATTTAATCATGGTTAGGCAGTATTTTAAGTTAATTGAGGGGGATGATGGTATCTTTGACTTTTATCTCCTGTTATAATTTCCTGGGGCAGTTCTGAGTACATAGTGAATGCATGATACATACGAATACTTGGTACATATTGGTGTCTGCAATTTGTCCCTTTGACATCTGATTTTTATTTCCTTTTGAATTTAAAGAAACAGCTAGGAAAGCAAAGCCTCCTAGCTGTGCATCCAAGGCAACCTACTTTGTTTCCTTCCAGTCAGTTTCTTGTGGATAACTATGGCTGAAGGCTGAGGTGGCCCACATATTTATAGATAGTACTGCTTATCCAGCTGTCCAAAAATGGATGGGCCAGCTTTGCAAAATAGTTAGCTGTTGTCACTGGAAGGAATCAACTGGAGGTTCTGTGGCATGTCAGGGAAATGGGAGAAAGGATTCCTTCCATTTTCAACAGTCCTTTGCAATGCTGCAATTCCACAGTCATGTGTGTCGTGACCTTTATTTGCCTGATGATCCAATTAATTTTCTTAGGTGAAAATATTGAGAAAATTAGAAGAATTTGTCTCTTTGCAACATCTACAGCATGTTCTTTAGAGGGAACCACTGGTTTGGGAGGTAGATACCACTGCCTTTGACAGATGGGTTAACTGTGTCCCTCTATGTTATAAGGAGAAAGCTACTAAACCCTTTGTCTCTCATTTTTGTTGATATATCACAAATGGCGGTTGTAATCCAATTAAGGATATAGAAGTTTTCTGAAAGGTCTACCAAAAAAAGCAAATAATTATAGTAATACTGAGTTTCAATGCTTTGCTCAATATATGACGTCAGAATGAATGTGACTTTGAGGAGCAGGGGATAAGAAATAGCCTTATCAGAAGCGTGGCCAGAGGGGTAGCCCTTCTTACAGAGGACCCGGGAGCTAGGACCATGGAAAAGACACTGAAGGCCCATTTCACACGGCCTCCGGATTATTCTGAATCTGAATATAGCACACATCCTGTGTGGTCTACTCACCACATATTGGAATCCACTTCATTGGTTATCATTGTACCTGATCCTTTGTGCTCTTTTTATTGCTTGCGAATTTGATTATCAGGGGAGAAACACAAGTTCTTTTAAATTCACGCATAATTGATATACAATAGCCTGTTAGTTTCAGGGGTACCTCATAGTGATTCCATATTTATATACATTATGAGTTGATCACTGTGATAAGTCCAGTTATCATCTGTCACCATACAAAGTTATTACAATGTTATTGACTGTATTTCTTATGCTGCATATTATATCCACATGACATTAATTTTGTAACTGGACATTTCTACCTCTTAACCCCCCTCATCTATTTCATCCACCCCAACTCCTCCCCCTCGGATAACCACCAGTTTGTTTCCTGTATCTGTGAGTCTGTTTCTGTTTTGTTTGTTTGTTTTGATTTTTAGATTCCACATGTGAGTGAAATCACACAGTGTTTGTCTTTCTCTTTCTGACTTCTTTCACTTAGCGTAATACCCTCTAGGTCCATCTGTGTTGTCACAAATGGCAAGATTTTGTTCTTTTTTATGGCTGAGTAATATTCCATTGTACATAGAAACACACATGGTTTTGATCCTGTTCCAATCCTTCATTTTAGTGGTGGAACCAGTAGAGAGGAAGAAAAGTTGCCAAAAACAAAATTCATGTTAAAAACTAAAAAGTCTAAAAATTAAAAATAATAAAGCCTTAATCAGATAAAATAAAGAAGAGGATTTATGGATATCAAAGCACGTACTTAACTAGAACAAACTTTGCCTTTATTCTTTTGCCAGCAGAATGGAGTGATGATTATATATCTTGGGCATAGTTTGCTCCCTAATAAAGCAGTATATTGAGATGTTAAGAGGAAGGGACAAATCTTTCCATTCTAATGAGGTACCACCAAGCCACTGAGGTTGCTCATGGCAGTACACATTAATAGTTCCCTTGCTAACACCAAATATTATTACACCTCCTTTAAGCATCTCCCAAAAGGCTGTAAGTCATTAGCATCTTTCCTCAGGAAGAACAATGATCAGGCACTGACTTGATCACCTTTTATGATGATCAAGAGCATTATGATTTTTTCTTGCATATAATTTACTGTATCAGTTTGCTGCCTTAACAAAGTACCACAAACTGAGTGACTTAACGGAAATTTATTATTTCACAATTCTGGAGGCTAGAAGTCCAAGATTCTGAGGGCTGTGAGAGAAAACCTTTTCTGTGCCTCTTGCCTAGCTTCTGGTGCTTTGCTGGCGATCTTTGGCATTCCTTGGCTTGTGTAGATGCATCACCTTGATCTCTGCCTTCGTTTTCACATTATCTTCCCTCTATGCGTGTTTCTGTGTCCAAATTTCCCTTTCTATATAGACACTAGTCATTTTGGATTAGGGCCCAGCCTAATGACTTCATCTTAACTATTATTTCTGCAACAACCTTATTTCCAAATAAGGTCACATTCTGAGGTGCTGGAGGTTAGGACTTCAACATTTAAATTTTTGGGGGGACGCAGTTCAACCCATAACATATTCTATTCGTAAAAGTAGTCATTTTCCAGACAATTTAAAAGAATAAAACTTATGCTAAGACTGTCTGAATGGACCTGTTTCCTGCTAAGCGCATTTCATCTGTCGCTCCCACATGTTTTTATTTCAAATCAATTTCCTTTAAAAGAGGAACAGTGGGGATTTTCAACTCTTTAAATTTTGTCTGCCTTATTTGGAGCTGGAG